CGCTGCATGGGCTCCAGCTCTGGCAGAGACAGGCCTGGCTCCCGCTGACGTCACCCCCCCCCCACGGCTGAACCAACTTCTCCACCCAGATTCACACACCAGTGCCCGCCTCACAGCTCCGCGAGTCCATGGTGGCTCTGCACCCGTGTCCCACGGCCCCTCCGTGCCAGGCCCGGCACCAGGCGCCGCCCTGGTCAAAGCAACATGTGAAAGGCACCTGGAACTGGACCGGCCCCACCCGGAGCCCACCTCTCCCACCTCCCCTCACAGCTGACAGCCAGGCTCCTCCCTTGCCAACACCCCCAGTTCTACCAATGCAGCCCAGGTCCCCTCACTTGCTGACCATCCCCTGCGGCACGAACTGACTGTCCCAGTCTCCCCGGGGGACTTCCTGGTGCTCTGGCGTTGGATATTTAAACTAAGGTGACCCTTTCCCTCCTTGCTACTGTGACTGATGTCCACCGTGCCTAGGGCAGCAGAGTCCTGGGCTCCAGAATCCTGTTCCACTGACAAGCTGTGTGACCCTGAGCCCGCAACCCAACTTCTCTGTGCCCCCACGTTCTTATGTGTGAAATGGGATAATATGTGTGCCGGGAGATGATGAGGATCAGGTCAGATGTTGACAAAGGGCACAGCACTGAGCCCCCTCAGCCAATGCTCTTTGTAAGTAAAATGCCCGACCCCTGTCCGCTCTCCAGAGCCACACGGGCACAGCCTCCCTGCCCAGAACATCCTCTCCCCTGCTGCTCCTGGGAACTGCCTCTTGTCTTCCCAGAGCGTTGGACCCGCAGGGTCTCTGTGTTCTGGGGCCCTGCTCAGTGAGCGGCCACTTGTTCCTGGGCCTCCCCTGCTGGCTGCGGCACCCGGGGGTCTGTCTGACTGTGAGCACAAAGCCTCACACCCCCCACACACCTACCGGGAAGCTGCAAATGAGTGGTGGGTCAGCCTGCTGTGCTCTCCTGGGCACCTCCCTCCCTGGAGCGCCCCAGGGCTCCCCGCCAGCCCAGGTGCGCCTGCTCCCTCCTGGCCTGCGGGCCGGCCGGGTGCTGGCCAGTGTCCTTTCCCACGGCTGCCGCGTGTGTGGCAGCATATGAATGAGATGCTAACAATTTCCGGTTTCCATCATCTGCTGGAGCCCAGAGCAGAGGCGCAGGGAAGGATGGAAGGGCTTCCTGGGGCGGCCCGGGTGGGGGCTGCTGAGGACATGTTCAGGAAATGGCCAGGGGGTGGGGTGGGGCGGAGAATGGGCGGCCTGGCTGGGCCCTAATCCTCCCACACCGACGGGGCTCTGGGCTGCGGGCAGAGGCGGAGGGCAGTGGGCCAGGGCCTCACCTGGGCCCGCCTCCCCCACAGCCCTCAGGACCTGGGAGGGCACCCGCGGGAGGGGTCGTCACCAGCCCAGGCTCAGGAGTGACGTGCACAGCTGGCAAAGGGAATCCACCAGGTGAGGCGCGGCCGGGGCAGTGGAGCGCCCACGTCCACGGCACCCTGACCTGCACGCGCTCAGCCACAGGCAGGCACCCTGGGCCTCAGGCCTGACGCGGGGCCCACGGGGCACCGCGCTTCACGTCCATCGTCCATCGTGGGCCCAGGCCCGTGGCAGGGGCCACATTCCTATGGCAACTGGCTGTGTCTTGAGATCAGCAAACACCGCAGCAAAGACAGCTCAATGAGGGGCTCTGGGGCCTGCGGCGGGGACCCTCCCGGCCGCCTCCCCTCCAGCCCGCAGGACCAGGGCCGCCCGGGTTTACCTACGTGGGATTCAAGCAGCGACGTCTGGGGCAACCTCTGGGGCAACCTCTGGGAACCTGCCGATGGCGACGGAGGCTGTGGCCGGATTTTGCAGTCAGTGCGGGGACCTGGAGGCCTGAGAGGGTGGGAGCCAGTCCCCTCCCGTCCCCTTTCAGCCCAGGCTCCGGGAAGGAGCCACATTCATATGGTAATTTCTCCCAGGAACCAGGAGGGACAGAGGGGGAGGGGCCGTGGCCTTCCTGAGGCTGTGCCCAGTGGGCCTTCCAAGTTGGCTGGAGAGTCCAGTCCCTGAAGAGGACGCAGCCGGACACAGCCCAGGAAGGCAGACCCTGGCGGCCTGGCCAAAGGCAGAGGGCTTTGCTCTGCACACCAGGGGGGGTTAGAGTGACCTGGGCTCTCATTTCTTCCAGAGTTTACCTTTTGTGCCTGAGATGCACAGAACATTCCAGAAACGCTGTACCAGGGTGCCCAGCCCTGGAGACCAGTGGGCCGCCCCGCCCCCTCCTGTGCTCACATCCTCCCCCAGGAAGGCCGCTCCTGCCCTGGACTGAGGCTGGCCTGGGGAGACAATCAGCAGAGTCACTGTCCCAGGCCTTCTGAGGCGGAGCAGGCCAAACCCACCCACTTCCTGTCTCACACTGCAACAGCCCACCCACCCGTGCCCAGCGCCTGCCCATCTCCTGCAGGGAATGCCCACGACTCCCACTCCCCCTTTCTGACACGGCCTGCCCTGAGGCAGCAGAGGAAGCTGGAAGTCGGCGTCCAGGACCCCGCTGCAGACCCAAATGGCCACTCCACACCCCCCACCCGCACCCCAAGTCCTCCACGAGAGAATTCGGCCTATTCCAGTGAGCTCAAGGAGAGAAAAAGGGACCCTTGGCCTCCGGGGGCGTAGGGTGGCCGTGGAGCAAACCTCAGAGAAACAGCTACAATTAAAGAGAAATAAGAATTAACAGAGGGGCTGGGGCTGGGGCTCAGAGGCAGAGCGCTCGCCTGCCGTGCATGGGGCCCTGGGCTCCACCCTCAGCACCACATAACCATAAAACGAAGATGTGGTGTCCACCTATAACTAAAAAATAAATATTTTAAAAAATTAATAGAAATGATTGACCATGCTCCCGGCTGGACCAGGATCCGTCCTCTGACACACGGCGCGGAGGCTGCTGTGCCCAAATGGACCCAGCAACCACCCCAGGGAGAGAAAACCTGGGTCCCCGTGAAGGCCACACCGAGACCACGCACTGGAGCTCAGGGCAGCCCAGCGGCCATCACCTGAGGGTGGTCAGCACAGAGGAACGGAGCCAGCTGGGGTGCGGCTTGGTGGCAGAGCGTTGCCTGGCAGCCCTGGGTCCTGTCCCAGCCCTGAGAACAAGGACGAGGCATGCCCAGGCTAGAGCAAGACCAACCTCGAAATCACCACTGGAGCCAGACAGAGAAGGTCACGTGTCACGTGATTCCACGATAAAGGCACCTAGAACAGGCAAATGCAGGGCCGGGAAGCAGGTGGGTGGACACCAGGGGCCAGGAGGGGAGGGGACAGAGATAGGCAAAGGGCAGGGCACGTCCAGGAGTCGGGGGTAATGGCTGCACAGTCATGATGGTTATTTCGATGTGTCACCTTGACTGGGCTCCAGGGCCCCCGGTGTTTGAATCTGTAGGGAGTCTGGGATGAGCTTAGTAAAGCCAGTGTCCCCTGATGTGGACGGGCCCCTCCTATCAGGCGAAGGTGACAGGGTTCAGAAGCTGCCCGACGAGGCACCTTGGCATGAGAAATGGCTGGAGCGGAAAGGACTGTGGCCTCTCCCTGCTCCCTTGAAGGACGTCCTAAGACCCTGGCTTGGTAGGTCCCCTCCACACCTGCAGAAGAGCACCCTCATCTCCCAAGACGAGGCACCTGACAGGCTACAGGCTGCGCCCACTTCCCCAGGCGACCATTGAGCTGACCCAGGTCACCACTGTTCCCATGCTTCGTCCAACCTAGTGCAAACCCCGGGCTCCGCCATTGCTGTGGGGCTGTTTCCTTATAATGTCTTCTGTGTGCCGGGAATTCCGTGTGTTGGGAATTCCGTGTGCCGGTCTCCCATTCACTCTCCTTCACACTTAAACTGATGCGTCGGGCCATGAACCTCCCACCTCCGAGATCGGGGGAGTGATCCTGACGATAAATCTGTCCGCACAGGGCCAGCCCCTCTGGGCCCTCCCTCTCCGTGGCTGCAGTCACCCACCGCTGGCCACAGCCTGAACACCCTGACGTGAGCCGCGGGCCACAGGTCAGCGATCCGTTAGTTTGAAATGACCGCTCCTGTGTACTGCACAGCGGTCACTTCCCTACTCGTGACTGTTAATCTCCTACTGTGTCTGATTAACAAGTCAAGCTTCATCACAGGTAAAGTGGACAGGAAAAGCAGGACCTCTGGGTCCAGGAGCACCTGAGGCTCCAGGCACGGGCACCTTGGGCACCTTGTCCTAAGGGAGACAGAGGTTTGCTGTTGACACACACCTCCTGTGGGTCCCATTTCTCTGGGGAACCCTGACTCATACAACTTTGCAAATATACTGAAACCACTGGACGGGATACTTTTAAAGAGTGGATGTCACAACATGTGAATTCCGTCTCCATAAAGCTAATATTAAGGACAATAAAGGCAGCAAAGAGCGGCGAGATGTGAACACCCGCTCGACCCCCCAGAGCAGGGACTGTGGCCCCCGGGCAGGAGCATCCCCGAATGAGCCTGCAGGGAGGGCCTTCAAGCCCCCCACCCCGACCTGCAGCTCCTGGCATCGAGGGTCCTCAGTGGGCTCACCTCTGCCCCCCTTCCTGTTGCTCACCCCAACCGCGGCCATCAACACAAAGCTCTCACAGGCATTTTAAAGAGGGCCCGTTGGTGCCGAGGGCTGGAGTCTGCAGAAGGACGCTCTCACAGAGGAGGCAGGAGCGCCACATGGAAGGAGAGGCGCAGCAATAAAAGCAGCCGTCAGGAAGCCAGGAAGACTGAGCTCGGCTGTCCCCAGTGTCCCTGGGCAGGAGGGAGGGAAGGGAGGCCTTGCCCCATGACACCCCACTCAGCACCCCACTCCCTGGAGCCCAGGCAGAGGGCTGGAGGTGTGGGGGCTGCAGCTTCCCAACAGGGCCCTGGCCGGGCCAGGAGGAAGTGACCGCAGGGGCCCCGCTGCTGGGCCAGGACTTCCTGGGCCACCTCTGCAGTACCCACGCCCTCTCTCCATTCAACCAAACCAACAGCACCCGCCAGGAGCCCTGCTGAAGGCAGCCCCAGAGAGAACTCCGTCAAGCCTGATTCGGTGACGCTGGCCCAGAGGGAGTGGCCCCTGGGCTGCTCACGGTTTAATGACAACTTTAGCGTTTGGTCTCCAGCATCACATGGGGTTAGTCTTTGTTCCCAGCAGTCCTTGGAAGACAGCCCATGGTGAGCCAGGGAGGGCCAGCCTACCCTGGTGTAGTGTCCACACTCCTGCTCCCCCACACACCCAGGTCCCTCAAGGGACCCTCCCCCGTCCCCAGCCGTGCTCCTACTCTGTAAACTGAGGCTAGTTTCTGCTGCTTAGTCAAGGCACACAGCAGGGCCATCTGCCTCCCCTCCACACCTCGTGGAGGGCCAGGCTGAGGGCTGCACTCTGGGGAGATGGCTGCCATGAGGTCCTCGCAGACCAGGCCAGGGCCACCATCATGGTGGCATCTCAGTACCTCAAGGCTATCCATAAACGCACAAAGGCACCGTTGAGCGGATGCATGAATGAGGACAGAAGTGGCTGTGGGGCCACAGGCACAGGCCCAGGACCCTGGGAGATGGAACCAGGCAGCCCAGCAACCGTGAGCCCTGGGGGCGGGGGCAGCCGTGACAGCTGCGGCCATGGGAAGGGACAGCTGGGGAACCCTTACACTGAGTGACCTCCCTGTTCCCAGGTGAGCAGGAAGCAGCAGCAGCCTGGAGTGCAGAGTGGGTGGCCTTTGGGGACCAAGGCTGGAGGGACAGTTGTGCAGCAAGCATTGGGCGTGGGGGCTCACCCCTCACTGCCATCGCCTCCTGGATGCTGGGATCCCCTTCCATGTCCCCCGCACGCCCACACCAGCTCCACTCCCAGAACCGAGCACTTCCCCACCTCCTGGCCCCACTGTTCCCACTGCCACTGTAGCTGGGCCGTCCCCAGCCCCTGGCAAAGCCCCAGGGCCCAGAGTCCAATCTCCACCACCCCTGGGCATGCCACAGCATTAGGGTAGTCCATCTGCCCCCTGCCAGCTGGTTCAGAAGCTTCTGGAAGGCCATGCTCCCCCCACGCTCGGCCAGCAGCTGCCATGCAGTTGGAGTTTAACTGCAGACGCAGCCGTGGCCAGTGACCTTCTTTGAAACGGCCCCTGGTCCTCCATTCCTCCCCAGGGTGGCCCTACAATGTGGCCACCACCACTGTCCGTTTTGCAGCCAGAAGACCGTGGCTTGGGGGGCAGGAGCCTCGGGGCACGCACGGTGAATACCGCCATCCTGACCGCCTCCTGCCACGTTTCTGTGAAGCCCACGGGAAGGCAGTCCCACGGCGAGCAGGACAGGATGGCAGGTCAGGTGCTGGAGGCCATCGGGAGCGTCACCCCTTGGGGACTCACCATGTGACCCATCAGCAGAGGCAGGGCCAGTGCAAAC